GGCATCAGATCTCATTACAGATGGTTGTGAGCCACCATGTGGTTGCTGGGATTTGAACTCAGGACCTCTGGAAGTGCAGTCAGTGCTCTTAACCACTGAGCCATCTCTCCAGCCCTGAAGTTGATATTAAAGTGTCTTCATAGGTGTGGTGGTGGTGCATGCCTTTAATCCCAGCACTCAGGAGGCAAAGACAGGCAAATCTCTGAGTTCAAGGGCAACAACCTGGTTTACAGATTGGGTTCTAGGATCACACACACAAAGCTTACCTCAAAAAACAAGATAAAACAAAAACTTCACTCTCCCACTCTAAAGGGATAACATGGCTAAACATGGCAAGAAGCACAATTTTCTAGGCAGACGGGTATAAAAGGAAGAACGTTTGAATCTATTCTTCAATGTTCAGTTTAGAGAATTTTCTACTATATTCTACATTTCAAAAGCTACTGATGGTGCTGGAGAAATGGCTCAGCCATTAAGAGCACTAGCTGCTCTTCCAGTTGTTCAATTCCCAGCAACCACACAAGTATCTGTGACTCCAGTTTCAGGGGATTTGGCACTCACACAGCCATACATGCAAGCAAAACACCAATACGCATAAAATAATAGTAAATTTTTAAAAATCCACTGATTTTGTTTGTTTGCAAGTATTGGTGATTAAACCTTGGGCTTATGACATGTCAGGCAAGTGCTCCACTAGGTACATCACCAAGACTTGCCCTCATTCTGTCTACATTACTGACCTATTAATGGTATCCAAGTACGGACAGTGACGACTCCTCCGGTCTTCAGAATCCACTCGGCCATTCTTTGCTGAGAAGAAATCCATACAGGCTTTAAAATGGGAAACTTGTGCTGGAGAGTAACTCAGTGGTAGAACACTTAACTAGCACAGGCAAGATTTGCTCTAGTATCATAAATGGAGGACAGGAAGCTCTCCTCAAATCACAGGTACAAAACAAACAATCATGGAGATGGAAGGTTTGATCACTAAGATTGGAAGAGTTTGATCACTAAGATTGGGAAGGTTTGATCACTAAGATTGGGAGAGTTTGATCACTAAGATTGGAAGGTTTGATCACTGAGGTTAAAATGAGCTTTTGCTTTTCATTTAGTGACAGCATTCAAAAAAAAAGCCCACTAGTGAAATAAGTTGCAAACAAAGAGTAGATCTATTACATACATAAACAACAAAAATTTAATTTATATATTATATAAAGGAATCCAGGCAAGTCAGACGGCTTAGTAAAGGTGCTTGCCAACAACCCAACTGAGTTCACTCCCTGGGACATACAGAGTAGGAACAGAGAACTGACTCCTACTAGTTGCCCACTGGTTTCCACGTGTATACCATGGTACATGTATACACATAAATAAATAAATGTAATAAACATTTTTTTCCACCAAGTATGGTGGTAGACAGCATTAATCCTAGCCCTTGAGAGGGTAGGCTAGGTGAAATCTCTGAGTTCAAGATCTACAGAGAAAGTTCCAGGGCAGCCAGGGCTACTTATTAAGAGCCTGCCTAAATAAGTAAATATCAAATAGGCATGAAAGGTATCGTGAAATATATCACAAGTACTAAGATAAACTGAACATCCTTAAATCTACCAGAAGTCCAAGAACTGTGTTGGTTCTGAGAGTTAATCCTAATGTGTTAGCTTGCCACAGCTTTATGGATACTGACAAAGCGACATGATCACAGACTAAAACAGAGTCTATTAAAGCAATAACAGTATCCAACTATACGTTATCTTTGCCAGATCCTACAGTTAAGTCCCACAATAGAATAGTAAAAGAGCTCATAGTGGGTTGCCTTACAGAAGATCCCTGTCCTTAAAGAAGGGGATTATATCTTCTTGTGACCTCACTCCCTTTTGGACTATTGAATAATACAATCTGCCTCCCAAGCCTGGTCACTACATCAACATCCTTTACAAGACAACATGGAACAACCCCCATACAAAACCCAGGAGAAGCAGAAGTATCTCCAAACTATTCAACTAGTACAAGGTCAATACTTTAGTCGGGTGCACTAGGACTCGACTAACGGTCTTATTCCAGAAATTACAACATGACTCTTAATCTTAGGAATTTTAGGGGGAAAAACTGGAAAAGGGAACATCTGTACAGTTATCAGCAAAGCACCTGACCCACGTGGGCTATTCGATAACGGGGAGATGCTGTGGTGTATCATGACAACATTTAAGTTTAGGACTGTCTTCATCTGAAAACAGTTCAGTCTGGATTCAAGCCAGGGCAGGGAGGCAGTAGAAAGGAAAGGGAAAAAGCAGACGAAAACTGGGCATCTCAAATCTCAGGAAAGAGAGGCAAGAATATCAGAAGTGTAAGACCATCTCTGGTTACAACTTCGAGTTCCTGAGACCTGTCTCAAAAAGCAAGAGAGAAGAAAGCAGGCGAAGGTGGAGGACGCTCCCGGCCCGTCCCCGCGCACCTCGCACCTCCCGCTCGGGCTCCGAGTCCTCATCAGCCTCGCGCTCCCGCTTCACCCGCACAACCGGGAGCGCGGGCGCCGGGATCTCTCGCGCAGCTGGCTCGGCCTCCCGCTTCACGCGGACCGGACTACCTCGGGAGCTCGCCGCCTCGGGATCCTTCTCACGGTCTCGCTCCTTCTTGATGCGACCCGAGCTGCCTCGAGACTCGGACTCGCGCTTCCCACGGGTGGAACCATGAGACTGCCGCTTGGACCGGCTAGACATCGCCACCACCGGTTAGGAGCTTCCGCGCCGGCGCCACGCAAGGGCGGCAAGCAGCCAATCAGAAGCCGAGCTAGCCTCAGAAGCGTAGCTCGCTACGAGTCGCTGAGAGGGACAATACAGGCTTATACAACGTTATAGGCGCTGCTGGCCCAACAGAGACAGTTTCAAACATATTGTGTCCTTATCCAACATCTCTTCACAGCTTAAATAGGAACCTTTCACAGGCTACATTGATTGTAAGACAAAGGAAGCTAGCATTAGAACCGAGATATCTTCGGGACAGTTTGCGTCTCGAAACGACAATCCAAAGATGTCTCCTGATCAGGGACTGATGACCTACACAGGAAAAGGAATCAGTATTCCCAAATTAACTCCTTCATTCAAGCTTGTTCCTGGGAACTTCAATTAGTATCATATTTAAAGGTCTCTTGAAATAAGGAGTTTGCAAATACTCTGCTAAAGCCCATTTATTGTTTAGCTAATAAAACTTCAAATTCAGCTTTACGACTGAGTCATGGCTTAGTTTCTGCCTATTTGAATAGTTCCATCGAGGCATAATTGATATACAGGATAGTACATGTTTGCTGTGTCTAATTTGCTAAATTTCGATGTGTGAACACTTTCAGACGATTGTCATAATCAAGAGAAGAAATTTCTCTCACCCCAGAAATGTCCTTGTGCCCATGTGGAATCCCACCCAAACCACAATAGTGACTACATTTCCTAGAATTTTATGCTCAAGTATGAATAGGTGTTTCCTCTTTCTGACCAGGTCTCATTCACATTTAGTGTAAGACAGTCTTTACTTTTGCTACAACATTCCATCAAATAGATGTACTAGACATTGTCACTGCTCTAATAATGAGTTTCTGGTTTTTACATTGTAAACTGAAGACTTGAAAAACTATACACTCAGGCTGAGGCAAAAAGAATCCCACAGTTTAAGGGCAACTGAGCTACATAGTTAGCTCAAGACTATCCTAGACTACATACCAGAAGGAAAGAAAGGCGGCTATACATCATTAGCCTTGGTTCCTCCCATGGACAGTTAAGCAGGTGACCTGGGCCCCAGCAGTGCAACTCCAATGTGGCTGAAATAGGGACTGGGTGTGGGTGGGGAAAACTTACCTACCCGAGCACTCATCTGCCTCATTGTCTATTACAGATGTTTTTAGTATGTCCACTAATAAGCAAACAAACGGAGGAGGTTGGCTCAGTTGATGAGAATGCTTACTGTCCAAGCATGAGTTCAAATCCCCAGCACCCATGTAAAAAGCCTACAGTGGGCTTACACCTCTAATCTTAGCCCTTTGGGAAGTGGAGACAGGAGGACCATTAGGGCTTGGTGGCTGTCAGCTTAATCACAGGTTGAGTGAGAGGCCCTATCTCAAAGGAACAAGTAGAGAATACAGAGCAGCTGGTGTCCTCCACTAGCCCACTAGCCTACATGCATACACACATACACATGCACGCACATGCGCACACACACACACACACTCCAAACACAAAAATAAGGAAACTTTGGCACAGTTGGATTAAAGAGTCAAACAAGTGACATATATAACATTTTTTAAATTTATGCCATAAAGAAAGAAATTATGTCATTTGCAGGGAAATGGTGAACCTAGAGATGTTAAACGAATTCAGTATAATTTGGAACGACGAAGCAAAAATATTGGATGTTTTTCCCATATAAAGGACCTAGATTAAGTGTGTGTGCGCGCGTGTGTGCGTGCGTGTGTGTGTGTGCACGTGCGTGCGTGTGTGTGTGCGTGCGTGTGTGTGTGTGTGTGTGTGTGTGTGTAAGAGAGGGGAGAGAAATATAGGAGGCAAGGAAGGGATGTAAAAGGAGAGATGACGGAGCAAAGGTGATGGAGATGACAAAATATAACTTTCTCGTGAGCAGAATCTAACTTTAATGACAGGAGCAAAGCAGATACGACATATATACACACGTATCTGATCTCATAATGAAGCTTATTGTACTAAAGGCCTAGAAAAAGAAAGCCAACGTCTCTAGACTAATAGAGTGCATTTTCTGTATTTGTGGATGACTCGAATTTTTTAAATAATTTTCTGGTATCAGCTATATAATCCTTCTTTCGTATAGATAATACAAAGAAAGCGAATCTCCAGCTCTAACAGCGCTCCACAGATCAAGGTTCTCAAATTTCGAAAGCACCTACGTTCCATTGCACCCGCCCCTACGCAACCGGAAAAAGGAAATTGGAGCCGGAAGTTGAGGTCCGCGGCCGGAAGTCGTGGTCCACAGCCGGCGGCCTGAATTCGCGGCCGTTGTGGCGGTTGCGGCGGTTCTGTATCCAAGATCTGAATGGAGGCGGCCCGGGATCCCCGCCCGGCCCGGGATCCCCGCCCGGGGTTGTGCTGCAAGCCCGGTGGGCGTCTGGACATGAGCCACGGCTTCGTACACCATATCCGTCGGAACCAGATCGCTCGGTACCGCCCCGCCCCAGGCCCGGCCCGGCCCGATTCGGCCGGGTGACAGCGCCTGATTCCTGCTCGGCTCCCCGCAGGGACGACTACGACAAGAAGGTGAAGCAGGCGGCCAAGGAGAAGACGAGGAGGCGCCACACGCCCGCGCCCACGCGGCCCCGCAAGCCAGACCTACAGGTGTACCTGCCGCGCCACCGAGGTGAGCAGCCGCCCGCTCGCGGCCCCGCCCCCTGGGCAAGCAAGCCCCTCTTCTCTGCGCCAGGGCTCCTGCTTCACCGGGCCCTTCACCGGTTGAAACCGCTGCATCAACGTCAGCGCCCCCAGTGACCCTAGTTAAACTGCACTGTTATATAAGGTACCTGGGACCCAGCCAGGAATCGCTGTCCACCAATGTGGCCTGTCATGCTGTGTTTTAATATTTCTGCCACCTGAAAAAGGGAAAGTCTGGCTGAGATTTAAAAAAAAAAAAAAAGAAAAGAAAGAGAGAGGAAAAGAAACAAAAAAGACCAGTACATAAAATGAAACGAACCCAATAAATGGCCTTTTCTTTTTTCTTTTTTCTTTTTTTTTTTTTTTGGTTTTTTTTTCGAGACAGGGTTTCTCTGTGTAGCCCTGGCTGTCCTGGAACTCACTCTGTAGACCAGGCTGGCTTAGAACTCAGAAATCCACCTGCCTCTGCCTCCCAAGTGCTGGAATTAAAGGCGTGTGCCACCACTGCCTGGCATAAATGGCCTTTTCTAGGGTTTCCTGTGACCATGAACTCATGTTAACTAACATATGACACTAAGTTTGTGGGCTGTTATTTACAGAGGGTTAAGATCTTGAGTCCAATTAACTTATTGAGTCCATAGAACGCCATTAAGCTGAGAACTATTATGTCTGTTTCACTATCCAAAGAGGTGAATAACTTGTGCAACATCTCAGAGCTAGTAAATGTAAATGGCAGAGCCTGGATTTGAACTGAGGCAGAGCCCAGTCCATCCTTTCAGCAGCTTCCAGTGATATTTGCAGACTTGCATCTTATACTTACTTTCTAACGGAATTGTGCTAGAGTGGAGAGAGAAAGAGAAGTTAAAATCCCGATTGACAGCTCCCCTTACAGACACACATACATACTCAGGGTCTGTCGGAAGCTTGGAGGCTTTCTTGGTGCTGTTCTTCTGATAGTTTCTGTGGGCAGGGGTTTTAGCAGCATCCCCCTCTTCCCTCTCATTCTGGTTTGCCCTTGCAGATGGCTCTACCCACCCAGTGAACCCAGACTGTGAGGAGTCCAGCGAAAGCAGCAGTAGTGGAGGCTCTGAGCTGGAGCCTCCCGGCCGCCAGCTCTTCTGTTTAGAATATGAGGCGGACAGTGGAGAGGTCACATCAGTTATTGTATATCAGGTACGCCTTCTGGAAAAAAGCTGCAGCTTGACAGTCCTCGGCCATGATGGAATCTACCACCAGTTCCTGAGCCGCTGTTAGTCTCAGAGCCAGTGGGAAAACATGTCTTCCCATCAGGTAGTCTCAGCACACAGAGATTCCTAGTTGGGGGAACAGGGAAAACTTGTGACCTGCAGTTGAGAATCACTGTTACGGGGACTCCTGAGAAGCTAGACGCCGTAAGCCAAACAGTTCTGTGAGAATGCTGTCTAGGAATAGGGCAGCACTTTTCTGAGAGAGACCAGGCTCTGAGCTTCCTGACTCTTCCTCCACGTAGGACGATGATCCCAGAAGGGTGAGTGAGGAAGTATCAGCACACACACCTCTGGATCCAGCCATGCGAGAGGCCCTCAGATTTCGCATCCAGGAGGAGCTTGCAAAACGCCAGAACCGACACTGACGGGGTTGAAGGCAGGATTCAATGCACTTGGCAGAGTTTTGCCCAAGGAGCTCACCTCTAGTTTGGAGGTGCCAGGACAAGTCCATGTGGTCTTCAGGATCCTGTCCTCCTCCTCCCCCTCCTCCTCCTCCTCCTCCCCCTCCTCCTCCTCCTCCTCCTCCTCTAAGCTGCTGTATGCACAGGGTCTTGCAGGACCACATCTGACCTACCTCTCAGCAGCCAGTCTTTTTTGTCCCATTCATCTAACCTAACATTCTGGAAGTTTATGACAACTTTGGCTAACTTAGTGTTTTGGGAGCAGAGACTTCAGGGAGAGCCAGGCTTTCTGAAGCCTTTGCCCATGTGTTCCTGGCTTGATGAGGTCATTTGTCAGGCCCCTTTGTGTTTCTGCTTTGGTCCACTCATCTTTCCTTAGACCTGTTTTCAGTTGTCACTTTTCCTTTCTCCTATCTTTTTGCCTTAGGTAGACTCCATTTCTCCCCACCCCCCCAACATGATTGTTTCTCTGCCACTCAGGAATTCAGAAGTGGGGCTTCTGGGAACCTGCCTTCCTAACAAGTTCTCCAAGTAATTCTGATGCCAATAAAACAGGAGAGCTTTGGATTTGAGGCCTATTTGGAAACACATCTCCTTCCCCTTCTGTGGCTTTCCCAAGCTACTCCTATGCCTCACTGCTTTGCACTGTCCATGTAGGAGACTATATAGGAGACCCAGGAAGAGAGTGCTGAGCTAAGCTGCAGTCCTTAGTTGAAAAACCTGTCATGCTAAGCATGGTGGCACATGCCTTTAATCCCAGGACTCAGGAGATAGAGACAGGTGGATCTCTGAGTTCAAGGCCAGCCTGGTCTACATAGCGACACATCTAGTTCCAGGACAGACAGGGTAGAGAGAGCCTATCTCAAAACAAAAAAAGTTAAAAAACAAGACAAAACAAAAAAACCTGCCTTGGCTAGGCTTACCAAATTCACCTCCTAGCTGTAGAGAGACTGCCTTCTTCTCAGACTAAAGGAGAATTATCAAAGCAGACTTAAAAGTAACTCTCCAATCGTGGTGTTGCAGTCTTGAATTATTCAAGTTGGGAGAGTTGACAATAGCTATAATTGTTCTGGGCTGGGATGGCTCTAGTTTCAAAAAAGAGCTGTGAATGACATTTTGAGGAAGTGAAATGACCCTTTCTCTGCCCCATGCTTTCTTTCATACCTCCCAAGAGTATGTCTGAGCATGATGATACACACTTTAACCCCAGCATAAAAGAGGCCAAAGTATGAGGACTGTTGTAAGTTAAAGACCAACTAAGCTGTCTCAAGAAAAAACTAAATAAATGTAACTTAGGTTCTTTGGGTAAACATCCCCAGACATAGCATTTTTCCAACACATGTTTTCCAACACAAACTTAGGCTAAGGTCTGAAGTCCACAAGACATCCTGTCCACAGGAATTCAGGGCCACCTAAGATTTCCTGACATAGGAGCCTAACTTCAGCAACTGGAAACATGAATCATAAAACAGCCTACAAGCCCAGAGACTGCCCACAACCAAACCCCCTACCCCAGGGCTTTGTCTTCTAGGGTCTCAAGATCATTCTAACTATACGAGTTCAGTAGCTTTTCGCTTCAAGGACACTTGGGGTTCCTGCTGTGTTTAACCCACTCTGTTGAAAACATGTACTGTAGCTGGGCATCTGCTTTATGCCATTAAAACAGTGAGGTACAGCTTGCTATGCCAGAATTCTGGGGCATTGAGTTAGGTGGTAAGTTAGAATGCCCTGGTTCCAGGGGGCGGGGGTGTGTGTGTGACTGGGGACCCGAATGCTGTAAACCAGGATAGCTGGTCTCAGGGTTCAGTGCCTTAAGTTTGTCAGTCCTAATCCCAGTCTGCTATCAGGGAAAAGCCTTCACCCTGTACTTGTACACTAGTGCTGTAAGTGCCTGTGGATTTATATGGGTAGACACCATCCAAAGCCTCCAGGATGAAGGAAGGTCTGCCAAACTCCATGCTCTTCATCCTGCAGGTCGTTTTAGTCTCCAGCTAATCATCCATATTCTGACTTGAAACACAGGATTCACTGGAACTCTGGCTGGACAAAGAACAGTGGAATTTCTTTGGGGTCTGTGTTCTTAGAGCTGTGCTTCCTATGCCCTGATTCTGTTATTGAACCTAAAACCACCTGAAGAAGAATCTGAGGACCCAGCACCTACAAATTTGTAGTTATTCCCACTTCTTGATAAAGGAAGAAATAGATGAACAGAGTGTTCTGTAGAAGCCTTTTATCTGTTTATGTGATCCCCACAAGGACTTCAGAAAGGAGACTGAGGGAAACTTCTCTAAGCTCTTTTTCCAGAAGCACTTTGCTTATCGGTGTGTATGAAAGATTTTCTAGCTAAGAAAGCACTCTTGATTCTTAGCTAATTTGTCCTGTATGACTACCTACAGCCTCAAACCCGTGCCTAAATGAAGAGTGGTCATTCTGAGCCAGCCTGTGGAGCTGATGTTTTCTAGGCATCCCTAAAATGCCTCTCAGGGCTGCCTTCAGCCTATGGCTTAGCTTCATTGCTCTGCTGGCCCATTCTGGGTCTGTAATAATACTGTCCTGCTGTCCAGTTTACTTGACACACCTGCTTCCAGATGTCTCTCACCTATTTCAAAACTCAGAGGTCATAGTGAATTCTCAGAACTGCCCAGTGTTACACAGTAGAAGCAGTATGCCATAGGCAGGACTTAACAGAAAGTGCTTCCGAACCAACGTGCATCTGAGTAGATAAGTTCTTGGCTGGCTCATTTTGAGGGCAGGGAGGCTATGGGGGCAAGAGAGGCTAGGCCAGGTATGATGGTACATGCTGGTAATCCCAGCATTTGAAAGGCTGAGATGAAAGGATTGCCCTATGACCAGGCATAGCGGCACATACCATTAATCCCAGCAGTTGGGAGGCAGAGGCAGGAAGGTCTCTTGAGTTTGAGGCCAGCCTTATCTACAAAGTTCCAGGACAGCCAGGACTACATAGAGAGACCCTCTCTCAAACCCTACCCCCATTATTTTTTTTTTTTTTTAAAAAAAAAAAAAAGCTATGAGTTTGAGGCCAGCGTGAGCAACATAGACCTTGTATCAAACAAAAAGTCTCATTCCATTCTGTGTGGAATGCTTTTCCCTCAGTTCTTAACTAGAATTAAGCCTGTATTTTACAGTTTTGTGATTCCTGGACTGAGTGTATATCATTCATCTTGCAGGGGGGTTGGGCTGTGCAAGGATAAAGTAGTCCCCTGGCAAGCATGAAAGGCATTGAAGACTATGAGGCAAGAAGGGAAAAGATATACAAGTGTATATGATGAGAATAAAGTATATACTGGCTGCAGTCTAGCCAGCAGGGGTGGATCTCGAAAAAATGTGAAAGAACATTCCATCTCTCTGGTCATCTCGGGTGCACTGCCAACTAGAGAGCAGCCCAGATAGGTGGAACCTCTTTGGGGTGGTGAGTATCCAACCTGCTGTGCGTTTGACAAGACCTGTGTCAGGGTGGTGCCTTCCAGATAACTCAAAGGAGACCTTCGTGTAAAGTACAGATGACACTTTCCTGCCTCTGAGCCTTTTGGGGAAATCGCATATGGAATGTTGACAGTTATTTGAAACCTTAACTCTTGAATTTTTGCCCTATCCCTGAGGAGCTGTTGGCATCCAGCCCAAATTTCCTTGGTGTTAGAGTGTTGTTAGAAGTGAAAACCTTCCTAGTTAGGGGTTCCTCCCTTCCCAGAGCAAACAAGAGGTTGGGAATTGTGGTAAACAGCTCAAGAGACAGACAGAAGGGTCACTGTACACTTGAGAGTGGCCTAAGCTAACCAGCAAGCATCAGTGTCCTGGCTATGTCATGGTGCTAAATGTAGAAAAAGCCATCCATTCTCTTTCTCATTTCCAGTGTTTCTGTATAAATAAAATGAATTATGCAAATTGTTTGGAAATCATGGAAGGTACTTTTTAAACCAATAAACTATTTTTACAGCACTGTTGTTGCCAAAAGTTGTGAAATCACTTGTGTACTTGGGGGGAAGGGAGGTTAAGTGTCTGCCCGAAAGTTACTCTCCTACCCAGTCAGCACTGGAAATCTCGACTCTTGCTGTGCTGACTATTTTAAGAGCTGTTCTAGTTGGAGTGTAACAGCTAGACTCATGTAACATAAGAGTTGGAACTTTGAAAGACATCTGGTCCTACTTTTGTCCTCTTAGGCATCTTCCTCTTTCAGCTGTTCATAAACAGCCTGGGCTTCATCAGGACCTGTATCATAAGAGCATTTGTTTTAGGGATTATTCAAGTTGACATATTAAACCTAAAAGTGCCTCCAGCAACACAGCCCTGGAGTTCTAGTCACCTAACATGTCAGAAGAGTCAGTAGGGCTCTTGAGCAATCTTCCAAGACCTTCCCCTGGTGATGAGATAGAAACACAAACCCAGCTCACTAGGATACAATCAATAAGTGTTAGGAACCACAAAGCTAAATGGCATACCCATATAGGCTTGTTCTGGCAGAACTAAGGCAGAAGCAGGATGATAGTCAAAAGTTAAAGACTAAGCTGAGCACTTTAATCCCAGCACTGGGGAGCCAGACAAATCTCTTGAGTACAAAGCCAGCCTGAGGTACATGTGAGACCTCAATATATATACTGGGGGAAAGGGGGTTAGAGAGATGACTCCACTGTTAAAAAGCACTTGGTGCACTTCCATAGGACTCAGGTTCAATTTCCAGCACACCCTGTAACACACAAAGAAAAAGCTGAGCCAAATTCAGGGAGTTCCAACTGCAGGACTACACAGTCCCTATCTTGAGGGGAAGAAAACAAGCTAACCAAGTGTGCTGCTACCTGCCTGTAATCCTAGCACTCTGGAGGCTAAAGCCAGAAGGATCAATAGTCTGGGGTTAGTCTGAATTACATAATAGGACACTACCTCTCCCCCAAAACCAAGATAACTTTCAGTGATGGTTCACAGCCTCACTTAAAAGAAAAATGGTACCTGGTTAGTTGGAATGTAGTGGGACAGGATGATATTCCGTGTTACTGAGAGATTCACCTTTGTCTCTGGGGTCAGAAGCTGGGCTGGACTTTATACCCACCTCCACCCCTGTCAATTCAGCCTTGTCCAGTGATCATCGCACAGTCATATTTCTTGGCCCTGTTTTCACTAAGTTCTGATGGTAAGAGAGAAAAGGCCATTCAGTGGTTTCCCGTACCATTCCTGTCCTCCACTTGGATCCCCAAAAGGTTTCTGCTCTTGAAGCCCCAGTTCACAGCTTGTTCTGCTCTTTTGTCTCAGCACGGGATTTTGTGCAGCTAGCCTTGGTTTCATCAGGGTGGCTATCTCCCACTCCTACCAGCCTTGGATCATACCCCCCTTGGAATAATGATTTGCTGTCTCATGGGGGCCCCACTGCTTACAGGGAGCCAGGAACACTTGTCCTGTGTGAGCAGAAGTAACCATGCCCTTTCCATCAAGAAAAGAATATTCAGGGAGCACACTCAGTCCATCAATTGAAGAGAGACTAATAACTTATTCCCGAATAGTCTGTTTTCTCTTACTAGATTCCACTTGAGTCCCTCACCTTCCTCTCTGCTAATGAACACCTGCCTACTTTAATCTTTACCGGCCCTACACAGGCACCTGCATGTACTTACAGTGGATATTCTTTAGGACCCTATATTTTATTTTAAGTAAGTGTTGAGTCAGGAAACATCTTGGACACCGTGACTTATGGCCAATTCTCCTAGGTCCCCAAAATAAAAATGAAAGCAACCCTTTTCCAGAGTTTGCTAAAAGGGGCGGGCCGGAGGGTACAGGGTGGGGTGGGCAGAATCCAGCCTGCTTTGGGTTTCCTAAGCCAAGCCCAGGCTTGGTGCTTGGCTTGTCACCCAACTGCCCCATGCCTGTCTTGGCAGTGGCAGGCTTGGGTCGTCACATTGAGGGAGTTGAAGGAGTTTCCCCAAAGTCGTGTAGTACGCCGAGGCAGTGGAGGAAGGCTTCTTCCAGCCACGTGCACGATGACAGCCACAGGCGACATTCACAGGCGGAGATGCAGGGCTAGCCGGCCCGCACTCCCACCGCAGGAATGACAACTGCCCTCTAGATCTCGGTGTCAGAAGTGTCCGGGTCATAGCCCCGGGCGCCCAGGTCCCCTGGACTTGGGGCACCGCCCACGTTTCCCCCGTGACATTGCCGCGGGGGCTCGGGAGTTGTAGTTTCGGGCGGGGCTCCCGCACCGGGGCCGGGGCTGCGCGGACTCCACGTCCCGGCGGGCGGCGCGGCGGGCCTGGGGCCGCCAGGGGCGGGGCCGCTCGGCCCTTTAAACCTTTCAGGGCTGCTCCGAGGGCCGCAGCTGGAGACGCGGCCACGAGGGGGCCGAGTAGGGAGCGGCGGCGGCGGCTGCGGGGAGCTCCGGGGAGGTGCGTACTGGACTCCTTTTCCCCTGCGGCCTCCAAAGGATCGTCTCGGGGAGCCGGGCTCTGGAGGGAGGGGGTGTTGTCGTTGGCTGCACACTCCTACCCAAGCTGGGGTCCCCGTGCCCACGCGAACGGGACCCGGTCAAGCTTCCCTTGAGAACCCGCCCCTTTGCCGGGGCGCGGTGGTCAGGTGGTTTGCCCGCACGGCAACGACTCGCAGCCGCTCTCTCGGCCCGGCGCACCCTCCCAGGCTTTCCTTGGCATGATCCCCTTGATTGTCCTAGCTCCAGCCTTCACCAAGCCGGCGTCCCTCAGGCCGGGGAGCGTGGCTCTCTTTCCAGATGTTACAGCCTTGCCCGAGTCTCTCAGCGCGCCCGTGGCATTTGGGTAGACCGCGGAGGCCCCAGATGGATAGCAAGAGGGTGCCACGTTCCTGCCGGGGCTCATCCCAAAGTCTGGACAATCAAACGCCCAAGGAGAGCTCTGGATGAAGTGTTGCCCACCCTCCCCCTCCCTTTTCCCTCCCCCCCACTCCCGCGCCCTGGCCAGTCACCAGACCCTGGACCTTGATCTCTCTCCCCAACCAGGCCAGGGCAGCTGATGATTGTGGCCGAAATATCTCAAGGTAGCTGGGCCTGCCCCCTCTTCCCCACCTACCTGTTGTCCTTACCCCTAAACCACCACCACCCTGGCTCCACTCCCTCATGACCGCCTGGATCCTCCTTCCTGTCAGCCTGTCAGCCTTCTCCATCACGGGCATATGGACTGTGTAAGTAAGAGGAGTGTGGGTTGAGGTGTGTGTGTGTGGGGGGTGCTAATAGGAGCTTGATGGCACACACAAAGTCCCTTGTCCTGTTTGTAGGCTCCAGAATGGTACCCAGGGTCACTTTTTCTGTCTCCAAAGCTTGGCCCGATTCCTGGGCACACAGCCTCTTGGGACAAGCTGGCACCACTGCGCGGGCCAGCAGGACAGCTCTGACATACACTTGTAGACAGCAACTTCCAGAGGAGCTCTAGCTGGAGGCAATTGTGCAGGGTGTGCTACAGCATCAATAACTGCCTCCTCACCCCACCAAATGAATTCCCAGCAAGGACACTGAGGCTGACTAATGTCAAAAGTCAAAGAGCCAGGAGGTGGTGGCTGGGTCTGAAGAGACATGAGGACAGGGTGACAGTTCTGCTCCCACAGGTATGCCATGGCCGTGATGAACCGCCACGTGTGCCCAGTGGAGAACTGGTATGGAACACTCTGCAGATGGCCTCACTCTAAAGCTCCCTTCATCTCTGTCCCTCCTTGAGCTCACAAGCCACATGGAGACCATAGGCTGTTCTCTGACACTGGTCTCCAGGCATGACATCCTGTTCATCCACCCACTTCCCACCATCCCTTCATCTTCTTTGCTTCTGCTTCAGGAAGGTGCTGGGGAGGTCTGAAAGATTTCTCTTTGAGGCCTGAGGCTTTGGGCCAAAGTTCTAAGCTGCTCCTTCCCCCAATCTACCCCCCCCGTGTCCTACCTGCCAGGTCCTACAACGAGTCTTGCTCTCCTGACCCTGCTGAACAAGGGGGCCCTAAGACCTGCTGCACCCTGGATGATGTTCCTCTCATCAGGTAGGTCCCTCCAGACTTCCAGAAATCCACTTGGGCAAAGAGTTGTCCCTGGATCTTAAGAAGAAACATTATACTGAGCCAACAACTACCACCAAGCCAGGCTTAGGGGCAAAGAGCTACAATCCCAGCACTTGGAAAGCAGAAGTGGGAAGATGAGTTCAAGGGCTGCCTGTGCTATATGAAACCCTGTCTCAGAGAAGAAAAGAGAAAAAAGGGAGCCTGGGCATCAGGCATGTAGTGGAGTTGGCAGAACGCCTGCCCAGTGTGCACAAAGCCCAGCACCACATAAAACTAGATGTGGTAGCACATGCCTGCCATCCCAGCAAGAGAATCAAACATTCAAGATCATCCCCAGCTAGTTTTTGGCCAGCCTGAGCAATGTAAGGCTGTTTCAAAGAAATAAATGCACTACTTGCTATTTCTAGGTGTTGGGCACCCTGCTGAGTTTTATCTGCCAGTGGTGCCTTTTAGTCCATCCTGCAGGTTAGGCTCTGTTTTTTTCCCCACTTTTAGCTGTGGAGACAGGCTTGGAGACACTTATTCAGGTCACACAGCCAATGAAAGTATGTGGATTTAAGCCCAGCAACCTCTCAGTGCCCAGCACAACTTCAGAAAAATCAGACCAGCTGCCGGCTGCAGCAAGGGAGTTTTAGATCTGCCAGCTACTCTAGGGCATGTCTTTATCTCTCACATATATGAACTCTTTAAATCAGAGACTTGCCTGCTGAAGACCAAGCACAGATAAAGCCTGTGAGGGGGAGGAGTTGGAAGGGGCGGAGAGGGCCACTGGTACTCCTGTCTCATTGTCCCTACCCCTCCCCTCAGCAAATGTGGCACATACCCCCCTGAGAGCTGCCTCTTCAGCCTCATTGGCAACATGGGTGCTTTTATGGGTGAGTGATATCATCAGACCCCAACCCCTTACCTCCAGAAAAGCCCAGAAATCTTTACTCTGCAGTCTGCCCCATCACCAAGGGCTAAGGTAAGAGGAGCAACTCTCTCCTGTTCAGTGAAGATGGTAGTTTGTGGGTAACGTCAGGCAGGTGGGAAGAGGGGGCAGCTCCAGCTACTTTGGTATTCAGGCCCCAGTCAGCTAGATGCTAACTAGTGTTTGAACAGCTGTCCTGGGTAAAAAGCCTAGGGAGAAGTCAGAGAGCTGGCCCCATCATTACTGTCTCTCCTAGTGGCCCTCATCTGCCTCCTTCGGTATGGGCAGCTCCTGGAGCAGAGCCGGCACTCCTGGATCAACACCACTGCACTCATCACAGGTTGCACCAACGCTGCAGGCCTCGTGGTGGTCGGCAATTTCCAGGTGCCCCCTCCCCACCTCCCTTAATAAGGGTCTAGATGCCTGTAGGGTCAACCTGGAGGTTGACCAAGGCTAGGAGGGAGAAGTGATGGACGGGGCAGGAGAGGTGGGCAGTTTCATGGATTAGCCTCTGTCTGGGCCAGGTGGACTATGCCAAGTCTCTACACTACATCGGAACTGGTCTGGCCTTCCCTGCTGGGCTGCTCTTTGTGTGCCTGCACTGTGTTCTCTTCTATCATGGGGCCACCACCCCCCTGGACATGGCTATGGCCTACTTTCGAAGTGTGCTGGCTGTCATCGCCTTCATCACCCTGATCCTTAGTATCCTTTTGGAACAGGGTAGCCAGGAACTCATCCCCTAGCTCAACCCTTCTCCCCCAGGTTGGGGTAGGGGTGGGATCTTGAGTCCAGTGACCACACTGCCCTAGTCTTATGTGGCCCGGCCCTTTATCTCACCTACGTATTTGGTTTGGCCATCCAGGTGTTGCTAGGTGCACACATCCTCTTGAACCTTTCCTTAGCACTGCTCCAGGTGGAGTCTTCTTCCTCCACGAGAGTTCTCAGCTACAGCATGGAGCTGCCCTGTGTGAATGGGTGTTTGTCCTCGATATCCTCATTTTCTACGGCACCTTCAGCTATGAGTTTGGGACAATCTCCTCAGACACACTGGTGGCTGCACTACAGCCTGCCCCCGGGAGGGCCTGTAAGTCCTCTGGGAGCAGCAGCACCTCTACCCACCTCAACTGTGCTCCGGAGAGTATTGCCATGATCTGAGGTCAGGAGGGTGGCTGGCCCAGCCTCCGAAACAACCACGCCCTCTACCTTCTTTGCATTTATTTTGTACCAAAAACAAGTTTTAGAGAGTATTGTTGGGATCTAGGCTTCCTTACTCCTGGAGACGTGGCCATCCAGTGGCCATCCAACATCCACCTGTGCCATAGAGGAGCAGGGCCTCCACAGCTGCCTCGGCTACTTGTCCTGTTCCCTCATACCAGAGTAGTATTTTGTGTTAAAGGTCACCTGTCCTCACTTGCCCAGCCAGCCCTTCAGGTGCCTTCTACTCCCAGTGCCAGAGCCAGACCACTGGGGCTTTCTGCTGCAGGAATTGGGGGCTGGGGCAGCAGGGGCTCACAAGTCTGGATGACCGGAGGAGCATGCCTTAGCCTAAGGGAAGGCCCACCCAGCTGCACTTGGGCTCTTCACTCTGCCCCTCACTTCCTTTAGGGCAAATAACACAGCGGAACCACACGAGTATTTTAGTACTTTTTTTTATATCTATTAAAAGAATTCTAATTTGCATGTTTGCAGTCTGTTCCGGAGATTCAGAGACGGTCCGATCCAGCAGGGAGGGATGGAAAGAAGTCCTTTCCTCCAGGAAAGATTCTTGAGGTTGCCAGAAACTAAGAGTGACAGATGCCATTCAAATACATCATAAGGGTGTGAGCATAGTGGTACTAAGTTCAAGGCCAGCCTGGTCTATACAGTGGGTTCCAAGCCAGCCAAGGTCACAGAGTGAAACCCACTTTCAAAACCTCCACAAGGGCTTGTCCCCTTTATAAAGAACTGGCTTGGCTTCATAGTCTCACTTCTTTCCCCTACTCAGTCTGGCTTGAACTTTGATTCCTTGATGGGGGTTGGGGGGCGCGGGATACAGAGAGCAACTTTTACAATGTTAAAAGTTTTCTCTGTGGAAATAAAGAACACCCCCAGGATTCCAGTGTTAACTAAAGGTTCCAAGGTTAACTAGAGATTTCCGGAAGGGGGTGGTGCAAGTTAATTTATCAGTTTTAAATAGCTACAAAGTGCCAGGCTCTAACACAGTTTGACTTCTAAAAGAACACTCAGACCCAAGCTCTGGTTGTTCCAGGGCCCCACCACCCAAAGTCTAGAGGCTGACAGAGAGGGAAATGCAGCCTGACACCTTCTGCCATTCGACACCTTGGACGTCTTTCTGGCTAGCAGCAGGGTGGAGGATTCAGATGGAGCCCCCGCTTCAGCTGGTGAGCAGTGCAGCTGCAGGGCGGGTAAAGAAACCTTTAATGAAGACTGAAAGTGCAAAGGGGAGGTATCAGAGAGGCTGAGCTCTCAGCCCTAGCTGCTGCCTCATGTGTACATGGCTCCGTGGAGGTTCTCCAGGCGGTGCTGCTGCTGCTGCCTCCGAGCCTGGAAGAAAGACAACAGGCTAGGCAAGGCCATGTCTGAAAACTCGTGGCTAGGACCATACATAGAGCAGCTGTCATGGGGCCTAGCATCAACAATGCGAAGACCTTTGCCCCTTAACCAGACTGACTTGGAAGGGAGCCAAAGTGAGGGAGGCCTACCCAAGCCTGCTGAGGAGTTGGGAGTGTGCAGCAGGGATGGAGTGACCAGTACCCCTCCCACCAGCCCCTACCTTGTCTTTCTTGTGCTCTTCATAACTGTCGTCATCAGTGGGCAGCTCATGGCGGCACAGAGGGCAGGAATTTGTCTAGAAAAATCAGGAGCAGTATTCCAGCCCTTTCCTGCTCCTGACTCCCACCCCTGCTCTCTCTTCTCTCTTGATTTCACCCCAGTTCTTAACAACAACAACAACAAAAGCAGCTTAGGAACTGGTGTTGGAACAGGGAAGGGGGGACTTAGTACCTTACTTAGCCAGGGCAGAATGCAGTTGGAATGGAAGAGATGATGGCAGGGCATCTCAATGACAGTCTCCTCCTCCTCAAATTCCAGAAGACACACGGGGCACTTGAGATCTTGAAGAGGAAGTGCTGATCAGGAGAGCTGTTAAGGCCCAACCCAACCTCCCACTCAGACACAGGCTTGGCCTAGAAAACTAACAGGCCAGATTGTTGGTGGCTAGGCGGGAGATGGCACGTCTGGCTTATCTGCCCGAAACAGAAAAAAAAAAAAGAACTTGTGTTCTCACCAGCCTTGGAGCTACTGATGACTGTTCTAGGGAGGCTCTCCACCACAGCCTTGGCAGCTGGTGGGGGAAGGTGGTGCTCCCAATCTACCAATCCCAGGTCCTCAAAGTCCATCCTATTAAAGAGTGATCTGAGGAAGAAGGTATAAGATCAGAACGAAGGACAGCATCTATTTTTGGCCCCCATAATCCACTGGACACTAACTGACAAAAATACCTGTCCTGGCTAATCGTAATAACAAATAGTGCACAATAGCTGCTCAGTAGGGTGGGAGTGAGAGGTGGTGGCCCATGCATTCAGTCACAACACTCAGGAAGCTGTGAGTTTGAGGCAAGCGCTGTCTACATATTATTAAGTTCCAGGCCAGTTACGGATACATAGTGAGATTGTCTCAAAACAAAACACACACCCACACAAAACCAAAACAACAACAACAGCAAAAAACCCACCAGCAGAGCTATCAGACAACGCTCCCCACCCCACCCCCGCTTGCTTTTCGTTCCCTTTTCCTATCCATCTCCCAAGTAGTTGGACTAAAGGCCTGTATCACCACTCCAGGCAACTCTCCCATTTTACTAGAAATGGCAGTCTAAGTTGTTCAGGAATAATCCAGTAAAGCCAAAGTGGATTCCAGGACAGCAGTGAGTTTCTGTGCTTGCTTATTACTAGGAAAACACTACCCAATTTACACACTTGGGCACAGGCCGTGTCCGCCCCCATGACAATCTTCTCCGGTGCCTCCCTCTGCTACTCCCACACTTTCCACCTCAGTCTTTCCCACGATCCCCTGGCGGGCCCTACTCATTAATGGCCCAAATCAACGACTCCGACTCGACTAATCGCGTCGCCCAGACTAATAGTCCACATTATTGACTCCACCTCCCAAGTTACCCACCCTCTCCGCCAAACCCCAGTCCAGAAACCTGCTGCCTGGGGCCCAGCTCCAAGCCCCGCGCACTCTTCTCGCGAGCTCCAGCAACATGTTATTACGGGCCTCACGCTCAGGGTTCAACGGCTCGCAGTCATGCTCATCAAAATAAGACGCCATGGCTCCTGGGCAGCCGGGCTTGTCTGACACAGCTTTAGGTTGCCGCTGGAGCGCTGGATCCCGCGCTGGCCAATAAGCGAGTCCGTTTCGGGAGGACAGCCAATCAGAGCGTTTCTAGGGTGGGCATAGTGACTCGCACACAGAGGCGGAAGTACTGTTTCAGCCGCCTTTCGTTGGTCGGATGAGTCAGATGACCAAAGGCTCAAGCCAATGGAGTTGGACAAAGAGGAAATTCCGGGGACTTTTCAGAGCCACGCTCAGAGGGCTCTCGCTGCGCTCCAGAAGTGCCAGTCCGAGCCGGAAGTGCTTTTGCGGTGTCTTGTTGGCTTTACCCACATGCTCCACCTACGCCCTGAGAGGAAAATTCTCATGCATTTATGTTTTAGGCATAAAAATAAGGGGTGGAGGAGCTTGAGAGATGGTTCAGCGGACCCAAGTTTTAATCCCAGCACCCACTGGACGGCGCACTATACTATTTCCAGAGGGTCCGATGCTCTCTGCAGGCACCAGGCATACAGACAGCCGTGCAGCAGAACACCCACTCACATAAAGTGATCGATGGTGCATGTCTTTAATTCTAGCACTCAGGAGGAAGAACCAGGTGTTCTTCTGTGAGTGGGAGGCCAGCCAAGGCTACAAAGTGAGACCCTGTCTCAATCAACAAAAATAAAAAATATAAACAAGGAAAGAAAGAAAATAGACAAAACAATGCATGATTAGGAGTTCAAGCTGGACAGTTTAACTCCAGCTCCGGGTAATGCCTCTTTTCCCCTCCTCCCCAGAAACTACTAACAAAACACACATAAAATAAAATAAATCGTTTTTGAAAAGGGGGCAGTGACTGCGAGAGGATTGCAAATTCAAGATCAGCGTGGGCTACATAGTAAGATCCTATCTTTAAAAAAATAAAAAGAGAGACATACAGAAAACAAATTCTGTATCTGATTGTTGTAATTGTCTGGTACCCTAGTGAGGCACCTCAGAGAGCCTTAACGTTCACGCTAAGCGCCTGCTCTACCACTGAGCTGAGTTCCCATTACTTCTACCCTGTATGTACCTGAGACCTGAATCTCAAAAGTAGCTTGCCCAAAAGTGAGTGTTGCTGACAAACTCAGTAGGGCAAAGTACTATGCTGCCATCTTTCTCAGAAGAGGAAGATGATAATAAGCACAGGGAAGGTAGCAAATTCTTAGCACCCATAGTCTCAGAATTTAAGAGGCCACTTGGGCTTTTAGGGAGACACTGCCTCTAACAAAAAAAAAAAAAAAAGTAATAAGCCCTGTATGTCGGTTATCTTTTTGCCAACTTGACATAACCTAGGGTCATCTGGGAAGCAGGACCCTCAGCTGAAAAAAAATGCCTCCATCCCATTGGCTTGTAGACTAGTCATTTTTTTTTTTTTTCGTTTTCTTTTTGGTTTTTTGAGACAGGGTTTCTCTGTGTAGCCCTGACTATCCTGGAACTCACTCTGTAGACCAGGCTGGCCTCAAACTCAGAAATCCGCCTGTCTCTGCCTCCCAAGTGCTGGGATTAAAGGCATGCGCCACTACCGCCCAGTGACTAGTCATTTTCTTAATGACTGACTGATACAGAAGGGCCCAGCTCACTATGGGCAGTAACACCCTGGGGGCAGGTCCTGTGGCGTATAAGAAAGCAGATTGAGAGAACCAGTCAGCAGTGTTCTTCCATGACCTCTGCTGCATCTCCTGTCATGAGGTTCCTGCCGTGATTTTCCACCCTGACTTACCTTCATGGTAAAGTACAATTATAAGATGAAATAAATCCTCTCCTCCACAAGTTTGGTCATGGTGTTTTATCACACCAAACAGAAAGAAAAACAAGTACCAGGACTGGGATATTTGCGTGACAGATGTGACCATATTTTTCTTAGGAAGATTAGGAAGGATGTTGGAAAGTTCTTCAAGTGCTTAGACCTTTTTTTTTTTTTTTAAGAATTATTTATTTTATGTATATGAGTACACTGTAGCTGTCTTCAGACACACCAGAAGAGGGCATCAGATCCCATTACAGACGGTTGTGAGCCACCATGTGGTTGTTGGGAATTGAACTCAGGACCTCTGAAAAAGCAGTCAGTGCTCTTAACCACTGAGCCATCTCTCTATCTTAATGAACTATTGTGGGAACTTGGAAGATAATGCTGAGAGCACTGCAGATGATGGAGGCCTGGCTTACTGAAGTTTCTGAGGGAAGCTTGTGAGTCTGTTGGGGCTGTTTGTGAGATATAGTTTAAGAATCTATGGCTTGGGCATCTGGGGCTAAAGAATCAGCCATGACTGCCAAAAGGCCAGCACCCTTAAAAGTGAAACCTTAGCTCTACTAGGACAATCCATGCTGGTTAGCTAGAGTTGGGAAATCAGCAGTGATTAAGATGAGACATGCATCACTGAGGTGACATCCAGGTGCATTGCCTCAGAGTTAGCACACAGAAGCTACGGCCCCAAGAGAAGGCCAAGACTGCATCTCGTGGTAGCAGCCAAACTTGGGAATGTGAAAAGGTCACCCAAGTGGTACTGGTTCTGAAGACTGAAGGGGTAATAGAGAGTGGCTGAGGCATGGTTCCATGTGGCATGTCAGAGTCCCTGAAGGGAGGCCGAGGGGTCATCGGTGAAGATCATATGTGGAGATCCCATAATATTGGAGATGCCGGGGCTGTGCGTTGGAGTCAGTCTGAGCTGGGGAAATGAGCTATGTGGGCTGTGGACTGCAGAGTCCGAGCTTCACAGGTCCTTTGGAACCCAGGCGATTGTGGGTGGGTCCCAGACGTCAAGCACTGGACTTTAGACAGTATTGAATGTGGGTTCTGATTTGAATGTCACTATGTCCTGGCTCTTCCCTGTAAGTATGAACTTATAAACTGTGAGTGAGAACACATGTAACTTGTTTTGATTTGACAGGGGCCCACAGTGAAAAGACTGGATATTTTAAAGAGTCTCAACATTTTATATTAGTTTTCTAAAGACTGTGAGACATTTAATCCTTCTAAGGGGTTAAGCTCTGTACAATTCTCAGGTCTCTTTTTCTTGCTTTTCTTGGTAACCCTCCCTCACCTAGCAAGACTTGCTTATTTTATACGCTTGACATTGAATGGCCCTTGACCTTCACACTTGTTCGAGCTGCAGTGAAGTCATACAAACAAGCCTAGTGTGGGGTCACACACCTTTAATCCCAGCACTCAGGAAGGCAGAGGTAGGCATATCTCTGTGGCATATCATCCAGCCTGGCCTAGAATATGAGTTCCAGGACAGCCAGAACTTCATAGTGAGACACTGTCTCAAGAAAAAGGTGGGTGGAGACTGGAGAGATGGCTCAGTGGTTAAGAGCACTGACTGTTCTTCCAAAGGTCCTGAGTAACCACATGGTGGCTCATAACCATCTGTAATGGAATCTGATGTCCTCTTCTGATATGTCTGAAGACAGTAACAGTGTACTCACATACATAAAATAAATAAATTTTATAAAAAGAAAGAAAAAAATAACTCAAACAGGTCTTGGTGGGCCTTCTTATCTTCTTTCATGTCTTTCTTAGCCCAGTGAATGATTGTTTTTTCGTTTTGTTTGTTTGTGGGGGTTGGTTTTTCGAGACAGGGTTTCTCTGTGTAGCCCTGGCTGTCCTGGAACTCACTCTGTAGACCAGGCTAGCCTTGAACTCTCGAACTCAGAAATTCGCCTGCCTCTGCCTTCCAAGTGTTGGGATTAAAGGTGTGCGCCACCACCGCCTGGCGATTGTTTTGTTTTTTAAGCGGTGCTTTCCCACTTTGTGTTTCTGTGTGTGTGTGTTTGTTTGTGTGTGTGTGTGTGTATATGTATGTGTGTGTGTGTATGTGTGTATGTGTATGCCACAATACTCACATGGAGGTCAGGGGACAACTTTGGGAATCAGTGCCCTCCTCCCACCATGTGGGTCCCAGGAATCAAACTCAGCTTGTTAGGTTTGGTGTCCTACTTAGGTTTCTCTTGATATGTTAAACACTCTGGCCAAGGCAATTTGAAGAGGAAAGGGCTCATTTCAAGTTAAGACTTCCAGGTCACAGTTCATCACTGAGGGAAGTCAGGGCAGGAACCTGTAGAAAGGAACTGAAGCAGAGAGCATAGAAGAAAGCTACTTACTGGCTTGCTTTCCATGGCTTACTCAGGTTGTTTTTTATATAACCTGGGAGCACCTGTCCAGGGTGGCAACATCTATGGTGGGCTGGGCTCTCCCACATCAATTATCAATCTCTTCCACATCAATAATCAATCAAGACAGTGCTACAGGGATTGCCTACAGGATGATCTGATTGAGACATCTTTTCAATCAAAGTTCCCTCTTCCCAGATGACTCTAGCTTGTGTCAAATTGACAACACACACATACAGAGCCCCAACTAGTAATAGTTGGCAACAAGCACCTTTACCTGCCAAACCATCGTGCCAGCTTCACATGAGTGTTCCTTCCTATGGCCTTAAAGGCACTGGCTTTGTGGTCCTGTGTATCTTGGAACATTGGAATGCCTTAATTCTTTCCCAAAGGGAAACCTTTATGACTCTGTTTATAGCACCATGGAAGCGTTAAAGGCTTTGGGTGTAATGTGGTGGTAGGTAACATTCAACTAAGAGTAAGACCCAGAATAAGAAGTAAGAAGGAGGAAATGTCAGGTGGAAAGCCATTCCCTTGCCATGTCATCTCATGTATATGTGTGTACTCATGTCTGTGCATGTATGTACATCTATGTGTGAAGGTCAGAGATCCACCTCAGTTTTTGTTCACTCAGGAATTGTCTGCTGTTTCTCTTCTGTTCTCCACCCCACCCCTTTCTTTTCTTTCTTTCTTCTTTTTTTTTTTTAAGATTTGTTTTATTTATATAAATACACTGCAGCTGTCTTCAGACACACCAGAAGAGGGCATCAGATCCCATTACAGATGGTTGTGAGCCACCATGTGGTTGCTGGGAATTGAACTCAGGACCTCTGGAAGAGTAGCCAGTGCCCTTAATCACTGAGCCATCTCTTCAGCCCTATTCTATTCTTTTCTTT